CTGGATTTAGGAGGCCTAGGTTGACTTCTAGGCTCTGCTGCACACTTACTGTGTGACCTGGGGCAAATTACTTAATCTTTTTGTGTCTCATTCTTCCATGTGTAAAGTGGGAATAATATTTCCCTACCTCACAAGGGTGTCAAGTAGAGAATTTCAGGTGAGATACTGTGGTATTGGGGGGTGGCAGATGAGAACCTAGGTAGATATTGATTTTCTCTCTTGTCTGTGAGATGATTCCCTCATGAAGTACATTGCTCTCTAATTTTAGGGCATTGGTTCAGACTTAGGGATTCCATAGGGCATTAATCAGCCTCACAAACAGTAATCTGTTTTAGTTGATGAAATATGACAAGATCACAACCTAAGATAATTTGGTTTAAACCAACCAGTCTTGATTTGCATTGTGAGTGCATACATGCACTTCACCCTGTTACTCAGAAAACTCTGTTGATATGACCCATTCTTATGGACACCTATTTTACTAAAATGTTTAAAAATCCTGCACATGAGATTAAGAAACCCAACAATCTGAGTGTACAGTAGGGTTAACAAGGGGAATAATCTGAATGTTGGTTGTGATTCAGTTGTTGTTTTGGGGCCTTTATACATTATCCTGGATCAGGAAAGCTTACAGATAAGGAAAAGTATGTTTTACTTTTAAAGATAGTCCACTTTGTGCACCTGTAAGAAATTAAAGCAAACCCAGCACATAATAGTGCAGTTTTGGACTATTCATTGCTCTGCAGACAGTGGGAGTTCTGGCATAGAAAGGTGTGCTTATAATTCTGCCTGCTTTACAGTATCCCAAGTAAGCATGGAAGACTGAGAAAATATTTCATAATAGATCTGATGTATTCAATGATGTAAAATTAGCATTTCCATTAGTCAAGACAAAAGAGATGACCACAGAAATGTTGGCCCTGACCACACTATGGTAGACCCCATGATAGCACCCACCTTTTCTTGATTTGCATGGGTACTTTTTTTGTTTTGAGATCCATACTATAGTTACGTCCCTTCTTAGTCTCTAGGATCTTTTTATAATGTGGTTCTTTGGAGAGAAAAAAAAAGAAAAGCTTTTCCACATTGTTGAGGGAAACAGTGAACTCTGACTGTAACAACTGTGTTTAGTCAGCATAGTTTAACCCACAAAGCAGTCTAGATAGATATTCTATATGGGATATGTTCAGTTGGTTGGGTTATTGGGATTACTCTAAATTATTGCAACTCCATTGAAAATACAAATGATTCTTCATGAAAACATGAGTTGCTTATAAACACTGGTCAGTAGTCCAGAGCAAAATTTGTATCACATTGTTTTGAAAGGAAGGAGAGATGTTTGCAGGGTTTGTTTTCTCCTCCCTCGTATATACCATGACTGGTAGAGCTATATTAGAATTACCTCGCTTTTAAGTCATTTTATTTGCCTTGCTACTTGTGCTGAGTGTAAGTGATGGGAACAGGATACCCATGAAAGGCAAGAGGAATGATCTAGTGCAGACTGGAGCACAACACATTTCAACCATTCATGTTTATCTTAGACAGGGTTTCTTAAACAGGGGTCACCGCTTGTGTAGGGAAAGCCCCTGGCGGGCCGGGCCGGTTTGTTTACCTGCCCCGTCAGCAGGTCCGGCCGATCGCGGCTCCCACTGGCCGCGGATCGCTGCTCCGGGCCAATGGGAGCTGCTGGAAGCGGTGCGGGCCGAGGGACTTACTGGTCGCCACTAATGACTAATTTAGGCCCTGATCCTGCAAATACTTATGCTAATAACTGTACTTGTGACTAACCCCAATGAGTGTAATGTAATAAGGTGCATAAGTGTTTGTAGGATGAGGGCCTCAGTTTACCCACTGCTTTTCTTTTAGACGGAGCTATGTAACTTATCTCTTAGTTGTGTTTTAAAAGAAAAGCATTAAGTAACTTTCACTAAATCAGTTTTCTCTTTTACAGGACTTTAAATCAAACCTTAGCTTTTGAAATTCTCAGAAGGTGGAATTTTTTAGTGATATAAGCAATGAGTTGGGATAGCATGACATTTATTTGAAAACTAAAACATCCTGTCCAATATATCATTAATGCTGGCTGAGTCAATGTATGAAACGCTAGCAACACTTTTTAAAATCATGGTTTAGTTAATGAAAGCTGAAATGTTGTGAACAATCCAATAGAAAACTTGGTATTAATTTGGATGCCCTAAGTGACTACATCATGATTGATATTAAAGTAAATAGTAAAGGAATTAATATCAATTTGGCCATTAGTTTAAGATAGTAATGAAAATGGACAACCCAAATGAATAAAGATTGAGAATACTGTAATTAAATGAGGGGCATATTCTGCCACCTGTACTCGTGAGGACATAGGCATATGGCTACCCACAGAGTAAGTTATGATTTCATTTTAAATAAGGAGGCAGAATCTGATCCTTTAAAAATAAATCAACAGAACAAAATAGGCCATGTATCAAGAAAGTTTCTAGAATTTATAGGCTGAGATTGAGTTAGGTCAGATTCTGAGTGCTTCTGAATGTACCTGAGAACTTGGGGAGAATGCAGTTTAGGTCTAAACTTGACTCGATCCCCTGTCAATCTCACACTAATTTCCATGGGAATTCTACAGGAGATATGATAAGAGGCATAGGCTCTAGTACTTACAGTTCTTGCTTTAAAGGATGTTTGCTATATTTTCCCCCCAGTACATCTTATATATTCAAATACAACAGCAAAGGTGAGACTCATTCCTGCTCCAGCGCTTTACACCAGGTAAAGGGGCTAAAGAAGTTCTATAAAGTTCTGGATCCAGCCAGGAGAGAATTTCCTCAGTGATGGAACTGAAGAAGACAGTCACAGGCTGCTTTTTGAAGGTCTCCACAAAAGCCCTGGCATAGCAGGTATGACGGATAAGGGGTGTGCCTCAGAATGTGATTCTGTAAAGATTTTGGGCAGCTCTGCTGCCATAAATTAGAGAGACCCTCCGGGGCTGTCTGAATTACGCCAGGACTGCTTAAAGCCACCTTAGTCCTCCCTCCCAATGGGCTAAGGCACAGCATAGAATCTCATAGGCACAATGGGACGACCTCCTTCTTGGCTTCTATGGGTTACCACAATATAAATGTTAAATAATGCACACCTTAAATTGAAGAATGCAGACACAGTTTGACATTTCCATGTTATTTAGGACAAATAGGAGGAAAAGCAAGTTTAGAAAACAATTTTATTAGACAAATTATTTAGACAAATTATACACAGAAAGCTCTGCCACTTGTAACTGAGGCCTCCAAAAAGTGTTGTGTATTTGTATAATAGGCAACACATCAAAATAGGCCTATTTTAAATAGTGTACATGGTTAACAGTTTGTTTATAGCTAAAATCACTGCAACATCTGGTATGTCCCTACATAGCTTGTAAAGAAATTTCTTTTTTTGTTGTTTTTGTTTTTTTTTTAAATCAGAGTTGTGTATGAGTTCATGAATGTTACAAGGGGAAACAAGTTGTGCATGCTTTTAGACACTTGCTACCCTGGAAACAAAATGGCCGTTTGCATGATAAGAAATTGTTCTGCCTTACACAGTAGACAATATTTGAAGATTTAGTACAAAAACATTGACAGTACAAGATGCTCCTCCAGAACAGAATTAGCATCAAAATAGAATAGAGCTGAAGAATATACCTTTTAATTTCTCCTAAAGCAAATCACATAGGCTGATTCCTATATCAGTTCTAGCCATAGAATGAGTTAGGTTAACATAAGTGTATGGTTGCGTAAAAAACAAAAAAAAACAAACTAATAAAAACAAAGAACTCAACATGGGATAAGTTGCTTGTTTTCTACTTAACGACATTTCTGGTTTTAAGGATTACAAACTAAAAGCTCATTCTACATTTCTAACAGATAAGAGTGTAACTTTAAGAAGCTTGTGCCAAAGCAGGCACTGTTTTTGCTCTCATTGCTGTTCTTTCATCATTCTATACAGTTGGCACTAATATAAAAATTACACTTCTCCTCTAAATATAAATGAATATAGTACGGGTTAAAATAATAGCTCGATCAATTTTTTTCTTAGCATAATATATAACTTTATTTAAGGCCACATCAATATTTCTCAAGGGTTTTTTGTCCCAGTAACACCATTATTGTATTGATTGATGGTACTGATTTGGAAAAGAATTTCTTAACCTTCTATGATCTACATTTAAACTTCTCTAGAGCTGTATTAGTTATCCATGGATGTGGTTTACCTAAGAGAGTTTTCCTTGGTTAAATTAATTAAAAGTAAAATTACCAAGTTTAGCCTTATACACTGCTGAATAGCCAATGCAAAACCTAATCAAATGAGTTACATCTGGGTAGAAACATTAAATTAACCCGGATGTTCTAATAAAAAGTATAAAATAAGCTCTGTTGGCAAACAATGCAAGTCAGAATAATATTAAAGCCAATCTCTTTTCTAAACAAAAAGACCCCCTGCACTGTATAGCTTTTCTGTATACAACACATTTTTACTAAAGCTTTATTAAATGAATTGCAATAGCAATGGCTGCCATTTTATAGATATATATACACATGTATATATATATATACACATACTTATGTATATATATTTATGTGATACTAATTTATTTAACACAACAGAGGCTTCTGCCATATGATACAGTTTACTGTACATAAGAAAAACTTTTAACACTGTACAATCACATAAAGGTCATATGCACTGTTGCAGTGCAAAAGTAGATTTAACTGTAGTCTTTACTGGCATAGTAATGGCTTTTTGTAATCCTACAAAATTGCATTCTCATATTATGTGGCCTGAATGTTTTTTTTTTCTTTTTTCCTTTTTTTTTTTTTAATTTATTTTTCTTTTACTGCAGGGTTTGCCTTTGGTCCACAGTTAAAAGGACACACAACAGCAGCGGAGCACTGAATGGATGCAGCAGAACAAATGTAAAGGACTGAAGTTATTGCAATTATATAAAAAATGGAGAAAGAGGGGGAGATACAAACGCCCTTCTGTGAAATAACCCTCTATCTTTGATGCATAATCAGTGCACATTTCCTATACTTAAAGTATATGAAAAGTGTACTAATATAAAACTAGTGGGATTTCTTTTTTTTTAAAGAAACAGGTGACAAGAGGAGAGGAGGAGACAGAGAAAGCAGGGGACAGAAGGAGAAATAGTGAGTTGTTACTAAGAATCCTGATTTTTTTTTAAAAAAAAAGTTACATCCATGTTAGTCCCATAATATTACAGCTGCTCCTTGCAAAGGGAGTCCTAAAAGAAACAATGAAGAAACTTGGTCTGAAGCTCATATGGAGGTGCCTCGGTCTGGGTCATTACCGATATTGAGCCCCAGAGTAGGAGTTGGTTGGTATGGGATAGATGACATTGTTTTGATAGGACTTCTGAAAAAGCCCCCGTTAGGTGCCCTGTGCCTAAAAGGGCCAGTTCGGTGCTCAGGCATGTTGCCAAAGGAGAAACCAGAAGCGGCTTTAGCTGACAGCGTACGGCTAAGAGTCTGGATCTGTTCTGGTATGAAGGTTGTCGTAGTGATATGAGTGTTCCTGAAGTCACTGATTTGCTCCAATGCTTGGCGTGTGGGCAAAGTGTCAATGTCCAGTGGGGTCAAATCAATTGATGAGGTGGAAAACTGTTTATGGGGGCTGTCGTCATCTGTGCAGAGGCTGTTAACACGTCTATGAAGATGTTCCAGGTCAATTTCCTTGTCATCCTGGAAAAGAAAAAGAAGACGGGCCATTTATTGTTGCCACTTTTTGCTGGACTGAATCTTTACAGTGGAACCTGAACTGCCCAGGAAACGTGACTAAAACGTAGTCTAACTTTAACTAAAACTTTGTGCCATGGGCAGCCGGTGACCCAGCCGTTGGGGTGGGCTAGTCCCTGGCCCTTCCCCTTGTGCCCGAGGCCCCGCCCCTCCTCCTCTCCTTTTGCCCCCTTCCCCGCAGGAGCCCAGAGCACCCCCACCACAGGCCAGGCCCAGCCCAGTGCCAGCCTCCGTGAGTCCCTGTGAGAGGCAGGCTGGCCAGCTTTGGCCATTGCAGAGCATTGGGAACTGCAGGAGGGAACCTAGGCTGTTTGGGGAGGCACAGTCTCCCCCAGCCTAGGATACCTGCCACCCATGCTTTGGGCTAATTTACAACAGCTGAGGTCAGGTATAAACATCAATGGTAAATCTTTCCAACTGACTGATGCCGACTGGATTAGAAGGAACACAGGTGCTCTCTAACCTTATAATTCATCTATTTTCAAACCCAGCGTCTTAAGTACTAAGCTGTAGGTGCTACAAATAGATGCCTATCATGAAAGTACACGTTTAGAGTCAGGGTATATGTGATTTAGATTAATGACAGTTTGATAACAATCAGCTTTATATAATGAAGATGAAGTGTAAACTCAGATGACTGGGGTGATACCAGCTTTTCTTGAGCTCCATACTGATAACTAAATGTGAGCTTCACATGGGAGCCTTTGAAGAATAGGAATATCCTCTTCATCAGCCTTAATTCTGGCTGGGCTCAGATTGATTTTTCTATTTATTAGCTGTAATAGAATACAGCTTAACTTCCAAACCATTTGGGGGGGGGAGGGGTACTGGTGGCTCATTTGCAATGTACCAGAAGAGGATACACAAGATGATTTTTAATTGTAATGCCAACAGTGGGTTTGATTCTCCTAGTTACAGTGGAGCAACTCCACTGACTCCAGTGGAATCACACTGGTGCAGGTAAAAGGAGAATGAGGTCCATTGTACTTATTTTGGTGTGTGACCACACCCTCCTATACTTGCCCTTTTTCTTCCTTAAACTCCCCAAAGGAATTCAATTAAAAAAATGTTATGCCAGTGTTATAGCAGAGAATTTAAATGCACAAAAATAAAAAGGTACAAAGCCATGGGCCCCAAAGTAACTGTACATCACCTGTAGGCCACATATATATTAATACTGAGCTGCAAAGCATAACTCAGAAACATGCAAGGAATGTCCCCACTAATCAGGCTGTGGGGCTTATTCATCACAGAATGAAGTTTTAACTAACCTTCTCAAAATTCACTTTAGTTTCCATGAAATCTACTGACTCTTCCACACCAAACAGAGAAGTATCACAATGCATCATTCTAAGATGTCAGAGATACCAGAAATAATAACAGCACGGGCCATAGTGGTACATTTTTGACTTGCAGGCTTGATTACTGCAACTCATTGTAGGTGTGATTCAAAGGTCATTGAATCAATGGAAAGACTCCAATTGATGTCAGTGAGGTTTAGATCACTGTGTCTAGGAATGAACCCACGCCCCCTGAAAAAGATCCACATAGTACAACATATGACAGCCCATCTGCTTAGCAACTCTGGTCACCAAATCTCTCTGTACTGAATACTGAGTCCAGTTCAAGGTCTGCGTTCTGTTATTCATGGTCCTTGGTACTTGAGAGACCACTTTTCCTTCTTTGACCAGGACCTACCTTGACAGTTGTGAGACTCTCAGGGTATGTCTACACTGCAATTAGACCCCCGCGGCTGGCCCATGACTCAGGCTCACAGGGCTTGGGCTAAGGGACTGTTTAATTGCAGTGTAGACTTCCAGGCTCGGGCTGGAGATCGGGCTCTAGGACTCTGTGAGGTGGGAGGGTCCCAGAGCTTGCGCTGCAGCCTAAGCCTAAGCCTCACTCCCCTAAGAGATAAAAAGATACCGCAGACCTCACTACTGAGACAACTAAATGTGGGATTGACTTTCCCTCTATAATTTATGCATGCACAGACCTGTCCATAGACATACACCACACCCACTGAAACAAAACCAACTATACTAATCAAACTATTTCTCCTATAGGCCAAGGAAGAAGATGGAGAAAGATTGTCTGTTCTTAAATAATTGGGAGGTGCTCAGGTGTCCAGATAAATACTCAGAGGCTCAGTCATAGTGCATAAATCATGATTTTGCCACTGTGGCACTGTTTTAAATCTCCTCCTTTTTTCTAATTTTGAAATTTATAAAATAACTTTTATACTACTAAAATTTAAAATAGCAATCAAGCAAATGTTTAAAATTACATCACTGACGAAATACTGCAACTTGAACTAGGTGAATAATGAATTTTTTTGGTCTGCTGCCAATTCTAGTAAATTGAAAAAAATTGTTTTGGATTGAACCTCGAACAACATCTTTCAAATTTTTTGGTGATTCAAAAAGAAAAATTTCTTTTCAGGTTGATTGGAACATTTTGTTTTGCTGTTTACCATCTTTGAACATTTTTGACATTTAAAATAAAATTAAGGGAAATTTTGAAATGAAAAGTTGTTTTGAACCAAAATATCAAAATGTTTCATTTTGAAAATGTCAAGGTTAATTTTTTTATGTTTTTTTTTAACTGAAACTATTAGATGAAGTTAATTTGTAAAATATCTCAGTGTTGCTGAATCTGCATTTTTCACCAAAAACGTTTCGGTCAAAAGATTTCACACAGCTCTACCTGTGACTTAGCTGAGCCTCTAAAGGTCTCTCCAATATTGCTGCTGATTCTTCTGCTATAAATGACATCCCAGAATGATGCATTCTGGGTAGGGGTCAGACTGGAAAAAATAAGTAAGTGGTATTCTTCCTGGCTCTGCCCACAACCCAAGCTCTGCACACTCAATACACCAAGAAGAGACATCACTCACAGTAAGATTGTGCATAATATGATCATTCCTTTTTCTCTCGTGTGTTTTGATGAGTAGTGAAATATTCAGCAGTGTTCACATTTAAATTATCATCAGGCTTTAGAGTCAACATCCCATTCAGATTATTGGGGAGAGTTCAGTCTTCTCTCAGAACTTTTGTTTAAAGCCGTCTGTAGACTCAGGCAGACATCATTGAATCGGTTACTTCTGGTTCACGACTGGCAGGTTATTTTCGCAACCATAGGACAATTTATTTTTCAGTATAAATGCTTGGATTCTGGAGCACAAGATGGCAGCCATCAGGAAAAAGAGCTGGCTTGCTGACCACAAACTGTCCCAACATGACCCCTAATTCTGGACTAGTGGCCTGGAAGAGCCAATGGATTTCATGGAAGCTAAAATGAACGTTAAGAATGTTAGTTAAGATGTAATTCTTTGAATGATCCCCAGAGATGGGATAATGGGGACATTCAGCTCTTATTTTCATACTTAATTCAGTTTTGAGTCAAGCTTTTCACATCAATTTTAAGACATAAATTTAAGAGCAAGCCAGTAAACAATATTAAAAAGTACAAGGAGGCCAACTTATAGCAGCTGAGGCAATGATAACTTTGAATTTCCTGACTTCTGTTAATTTGAAATACACACACATACACAAAATAAGTATCAATGTGAAGTTTCTGAAAGTTTGGGCGAAGTGCTTAAATAGTAAAATATACCAAATGGTCATTTACTGGTTTTAACTGAGAGTTTCCTATTTCAGAGGAACCCAGTTTAAAGAGAAGAGAGAGTTTTCCTTTTTAAAAACAGTACTTGCCAGAAGTTTAAAAAAAAAAAATCTCAGAAATGAAACAGTAAGCAAAACGTTTTAAAAATTCAAAGATCAATGCTGTAATTAGTGAGTGTAATTATTTCTGTCTGATTATACAGCATAAGATTGGCAGGCACAATACTGGGTAAATTGCAGATAATGGCAAAACCATCACACACAAACTCAAAGCAATATCCTACAACAGGCGTCTATGGCTATGTAGATAGAAAAAGTGTAATTGGTGGTGATGCACTGTAATTTGTCAAGCATCCTGGACTGCTATAAAATGGCATATCTCCCACTAAAATCAGTTGTCTATAGTCCTCGGCATTTTAGAATTCCCTGACCAAGATGTTAAAAAATGGGTGTCCATTTTCAGGTTTCTAAAAAATCTGGCCTGGTTTTCCAAAGGGCTGAGCACCCTCAGCTGCCATTGACTTCAGGTAGATATTGAGAACAGAAGCAAATAGGAGTGCAGGTCCTCTGCACCTTCAAAAATCATACCAAGTTCATTTAGGAGCCTAAATATGGATTTAGGAGTTTAGCTTTGGTAACCTGTTTTTGAAAGTCTGAGCTATTGCATCTGGGGGGCATGATTTGAATGCCGGAGTGAAAGAGACCTTTCAAACTCATTGGCAAAACCTGGAGCTGATCCACAATAGCAGGCATAATGTACTAATTACTGATGTATTACTAACATAGTATTCTACTACTAATTGTTGTGTTCCATTGAGACCAGTTCCCTGTCACACAACACCAGTATATAGTATTTATTTTCTTTTTTCATTTCTTTCTGGCTCTTCTAAAAAGGAGAGTCAGATTTCACGATACAGGTTTTCAGTGACCTTGCTCATCTTACAAATCAGAAAACTATGGAATTATTTCAGAACCTATGTTTTCCTTCCCCCTTTAGTGCTATAAATTCAAGACAACAGTATGCAGATAGCATGAAGATATTCCACAATAAATTAAAGGGTCCTATACCTCTTTTGATGGAACCCGGGAGCCTTTCCTTTTATTCCACCATGTTTCCAGCATTGCAATGAAACAGGAGAGGACAATCCCAGCAGCCAGGATACAAAACACCCCTGCAAAGCTCTTTATGTCCAGGGCACCTCCTTTCTGTTTGGTATCCACTGATGAGTATAGGTCACACTGACCATTCTTTGGCCACCACTTATGCTTCAGTATATCCATGTCTCCATTTTGCTGAAGTTCTAAAATCCTTGGGGAGAAAGTACAGAATCACCGGTTATGTCAATGACAACTGAAGCTTACATTTGTACAACTGAAAGCATAGAAGTGGTTGAGAACGTGACCATACCACTATTCCATCCCATGCATGTGGATGGCAAAACAGATGAGTTCAAAAGGGATGACTAATAAGCCAGAAGAGGAAGTTTCTTGGCTGGAATACTGGGCATGGTGCCCACCCCCTGTATTTATTTTTCTTCTTTTAATTACCCTCAGTGGAAGTTATGTGTATTTCTAATTGCATTTCAAATATAGAATAGTATATTTATTTTTCTTGCTAGCCAATTTCTGTAATTTGGGCTTGTTACATACAGAGTAATATTTTGGGCTTTATTAGTTTGAAAAGAAACAATTTGCTTTAAAAAGCAAGGACATTGCCAGACTGTGCCCTGGCAAATTTAACTCAAAAAGGGAAAGTTAGTTTGGAAGATTCATTTAATATTCCACTTAAGACCGTTCTTAGCAGTTTGGGTCCACATTGCCTTAGTGAGAGCCTCTCCTCCCTGAGCGAGACTGTGGCAGCTGCAATCAGTTAAGGCTCTTGAATTCACATACCTCCACTCCTTTTAAATGGGAAGTGGCTGGTGGCAGGGGACTTTCAAGGAAGGGTCGTTTCTCCCACCCTTGCTTTAAAACAGGGATCTCAAACTCAAATCACGACAAGGGCCACATGAGGACTAGTACATTGGCCCGAGGGCCGCATCACTGAAACCTTCCATGAGGCCCCACCTCTGCCCCATCTCTTCCCACCCCTTCCCTCCCCCATTCCAATCCCTTCCCCAAAGTTCCCACCCAAACTCCGCCCCCTCCCTGCCCCTATTCCAACCCCTTCCCCAAATCCCCGCCCCGGCCCCACCTCTTCTCCGCCTCCTCCCCTGAGCATGCCGCATCCCCGCTCCTCCCTCCTTGAAAGTCCTAAGCGCCACCAAACAGCTGTTTGGTAGCGGGAAAGCGCTGGGAGGTAGGCGGAGTAGCGGGGATGTGGCGCGCTGGGGGGTGGGGGGTGGATAGGGAACGGGGGGTGCGGTGGGGAGCTTGGTGGGCTCCAGGAAATAACCCCGCGGGCCGCGTGTTTGAGATCCCTGCTCTAAAAGACCATGGATTTATTGGTTAAGTTACACGGCCTATATATTTTGCCAGGCCTTCCATGGAAGGAGAGATGTGGGTTGAAAGGGGAGAAATTTATTTTGAGAGGATCTTTTGTGTGTTTATTGATCCAAATAAACCTTTAATTAACCAAAATAAATAATTCAGTAATTACATTTTTAAAAACTGATAAAAGAAAATGGAATTTTCCCCCCTTGCACAAATGATCTGTGTTTCTTAGTAATGTCAGCAGGAAAACCAATCAGTTGCATGGTCATTTGAAAAACACTATGCAAAAAACAAAGCACATACACACATGCAAAGTGCTGGAACTTTCTCATTCAAAACCAGGCATTACATCAAGTAAGATTTTTTTTTTTTTTAGTACAAAATCAAAAAGAAAAAACATATATGCCTAAATCTGCAAATGCTCTGTGCACAACAGTCCAACTGAAGCCTCTAATAATACAATAAAACAAAATGGACATTGTATGATGTGACCCAGAAACTTCTTAGTGATAACTGGCATGGGGCACAGACGGGGTGCGTAGGGGTTATAGGGATCTCTTGGGTCTGGTATGTACATTCTAGTTCAGGAAAGGGTGTCTTAAATCGAAGCCAGTGCCACAATGGTCATCAATATCATCACAAAACACATGTATGGATATTGTGCAAGGAGTTACATATATACACTGAAAATTATGTTCTGTGGCAGATGACCGGCGCTATTATGGTGGGTCCCGTGCTTTTCCTTCATGTGATGGGTCATGTGCTGCCTTTTGCCCCTATTCTTGCGCATTAAGAGCTCCATTAGTGCCCTGATGGGAAAGAGAAAGGGAGCGGGGAAGGGACCCAGCCCGTCCTCTACTCCGGGTCCCAGCCCCATCAGCTTCACGGGCTTTCCGCCCTCTCGGGCAGAGTTTCTCTCAGTCCTCTCTGCCTGGGGAGTCCCTCTGCTCGAGCAGGGTTTCCCTTCCCTGGTACTCTGATCCTCTGGTTAACAACAGTACTCTTTCAAACTACAGTCAGCTCTCCTTCCCCATCCCTGTCTGACTGAAGCAGGGGTTTTTATTAGGTCTCTGGCAGGGCCTTAATTGGCTCCAGGTGCTCTAATTAACCTGTAGTAACCTCTCCTCAATCCCCAGGGAATAAGGCTCTGATCATCCTCGGGCTTATGTATCTCCCATCTATCACTTTCTTGCTGCCCTCTGGCTTTACTGTATCACAGTTCTTAAAATCTGTGTCTAGGGACTGGTCGCCAGCAAAAGTGAAAAACAGGTTTTCCATCAAACAAGAAATGTTCATCTGTCTGGCTGTTTACAGGTTTGTGCTAGTATATTTGTGGGACTAAGACGACAACCTAGCATCCTTCACCTAGGAAGTAAATGGACAGCAAGTTTGCTTAATGAAAGAGGGGTCTCAGCTAGGCTTGGCTGAAATGCAGAAGAGACCTTAGGGTGAGATAACTTAAGTTGATCAATCTAAAGAAGCTTTAGACTCTAGCAAGTACGGTATGATTTTGTTTTATATGTAACCAGTTGTTCCCAATAGCTTTACTTACCATCACTAGAATTTATCTTTGCTAATAAACTTTTCACTATATATAAAAAGTGCTGTGCTAAGTAGTGATCTTGAGCTGAATCTTATAAGTTGGTGTGTACTGCTCCTTCTGCAAGCGTTCATGGATAAGGGGATGGACACTATGGGGAACGCTCCGAGGACTTGGGGGTTGGTTTGTGGCTATAGCTAACCTGTAGAGAGGGAGAGCAAGGACTGCAGAGGCCTGGAAGGTAGTGCTTGTGCTGTCAGAGGCTTGTGGTTTCTGGGAGCTGATTCATGACAGACAGACAAGACTTCCTCATCCTAAAGGCTGGTGGTGGAGATGGGGCCTCACAACTCTGGGTAGCCCTAGGGAGCATCACTAGTTTAATTTAGCAGTGCTTTACAATGTGTCCCATATGCAGATTATTTTGATTTTTTTCAACATGCCAATGCCATGTACTTTATCATGCCAATGAAGTTACTGAAACTTTGTTTCAGCATATACAAGTCCTTCAGTGTCTTCCAAAAGTGGACCTATAACTATGTGCCTTTCCCTGGAACTAGTAGTAGGAAATCTCAACACGCCAGTCAATGGTCTGGTTATTTTCTTTTCTGGGGGGTGTTAAATCCCAGCAATGACTCTCGATTGAGTTTTCAGAGTCCAATGTAGGAGCATTTTCCTGAGCAGTGAGTTAATGTCTCTATGCACCTGAAGTAGTCACTCTGGAGGTCCAACCCAGATTAAGGAGTCCCAGAGTTTTAGGAAAAGGGGTTTGTCTCTTTTCAGGGCCCTGAGGCAACAGAGGAATTTCCAACTAGAAATCAGCCCAGGTAGCTCCAGAGATACAAGAATTACCTTGTTTATATTCCTTTATGTTTAATGATACAGCAATGGGACACATTCTATGCTGTTTCTCTAGGGGCCCAACTCCGAAGGTGTAGCTTGGGAAAGGGAGGTCAATTGTGGCTTTAAGCCATGTTTGCCTGGTCTGGATTCTGAGTTAGCTAGGAGGCAACTCTAATTTATAGCAGTCTTATCCCTGGTCTTCCTATAGGGGTATGGCTGCCTGGAGCAGCCAAGAATCTCTGTACTGCTTAATACTAGGAGACACTATTTCCTGTCTTGACACATCCATACCAGGAGCTTTGAAGGGGAGGGGACTGCATATATCAGCCCTATGCTGCTCCTGCAGTGAGGGAATTCTCTCCCAGACAGCTGTGTTACATTTATAGTCCTTATGGGCTGCTAGAGTGGCACATCAGGGTTGGGGCCACAGTTGTCCATGATTTTAGTTCTCACTGTACTTGCATTCAGCATCTGGTTAGCATTTGTTTGGGCATGTTAGTCAAAATATAGTCAGCATCTCTGACAATCAGATCACTTCTATATAGGTCCCTATACATGGATTTAGGGGTCTAACTTTCAGCATCTAAGTTCCATCATTTTGGCCTTTATACTTTATCTTTGTGAATTACTATATGCCAGATACATAAACCAGTAATGGAAAAACATTATGGGGGCTGACTGTTTTTTCCTCAATGGCAGCTCTAAGCCCTGAGCAATGCTATTTTCTTCCTTTTCTTCAGTCGGTAATAGACAAACATCTGGAATGAATGTGCTATTCTCATTAATTACATTATTTTCCATTTGTCAGTATAATTCCTGATTACACAAGACATCTTTTTAAACAATAGAAATTTGCAACAAATATCAAACATTAGCTTGTTCTGTAAGACAGCAGTTCATTCCTAATTGTATCCCTGGTAATGATTTTAATTGATGAGCAATCGTGTATAAGGTTAATAGTTTTAAGAAAATCAAAAAAATGTAAGCAAAAACTAGGAATACCAATTATACAAAACTTTATACAGCAGGTGTAGAAATGAAGAAAGCTCATTAAAAAATTCATTTAAAATTGCAGTTGAAATGGATATACATCAAGGGAAATTATTGGAGCATCAATGGTAACTTGATCAAATGTATTAACTTTATAAAGACAAAAGGCCAGATCCTGGTCCTACTGGACTCAGAGGGTACTTTGTCATTGACTCCAACAGAATCAAGATTTGGACCCAAAAGAATAGCCACTACATTATGAGATTTGTGAATATTGCCAAATGTTTCTGTAGCTCTGGAATTATTACTTTAGAGATTTTTGAAAGTGAAAAATGTTCTTTAATTGGAATCCCCTGGAAGCTAGTGAGGATCTTATGTTGAACCTATAGGCACCAATATGATTTTGTGGTGTGCAAACATTCCACAAGATGGCAGTCTGTGCACAAAATTACACACTTCTGCTGCAATTACTGTTCTGGGCATATGAACTATACTAATAATTCCAG